TAGCTGACACACCGAGGTGCCTGGGTTTGGGGCTGCTTCGCAGCCCAGCGCGGGGCAAGCCCGCTCACCACAGCAAGCCCTCTCCCAGAGTTAAATTCCTCTGGGCTACCACCCGGCAACTCGGGGCATTTGGCCCCAATAGCCATAGATCTTTACACACGTTTCAAAGGCTGAAATAACTCTGTGGTGAGCGGGCTTGCCCCGCGCTCTACCGCTCAATCGACCGACTCCACCGCGCATTCCACTCCGGCCGCGCCTGGTTCACCTGGTCCCAATCAATCGAAATCGCTGTCTGCAAATAACCCTGCATCGCCTCCACCCGCGCGCGGGTTTTGTCGGTGGTCGGCGTGGTCGGGTTCGAGGGGATCTGGTCACCTTCCTCCAGCGCCGGCGCCTGGGCTTCGGCGCTCAGCAGGTAGGCCGCGAGTTTCTGCGCCAGCTCCGGCTGGTCGTTGCGGGCGATTACGCATTCGGCGACGTTGAGCACGACCGCGCCTTCCTTGGGTTGCGCATATTCCATCGGTACGCCGAGCAGTTTCTGGGTAGCGACCTGGGTTGGGGTGAGGGGGAAGATCGCGGCTTCGTCGGTCTGCACCATCTCGGAGATTTTCGCCGAGCTGGCGATGTATTCCAGTACGTTGGGGCCGACGGTTTTCGGCCAGGCCTTGAAGCCGGGGTCCACGTTGGTCTCATCGCCGCCCTGCAAACGGTTGAACATCAAGAAACCGTGCAGGCCGAAGGTGGAGGAGGCCAGGGACTGGAACACCACTTTGTCCTTGAAGCGTGGGTCGGCCAGGTCCATCCACGACGTCGGGGCGGCCCAGCCTTTTTCCTTGAACAGCCTGGCGTTGTAGCCCAGGCCGGTGACGCCCAGGGTCACGGCCACCGCTTGGTCCTTGATTTTCGCCTTGGCCGGGATTTGCTCCAGGGTCGGGCTGGGCGTGAGTTTGTCGCACAGGCCCATGGAAATGGCGCGGTACATGATGCCGTCGTCGAGGAACATCACATGCATCTGCGGGTTGTTTTTATTGGCCTGGACCTTGGCGAGAATGTCCGACGAGGTGCCGGGTACGATCACCACTTTGACGTTGTTGGCCTTCTCGAACGCGGGCAGTACTTTATCGGCATACACCCGTTCCATGGTGCCGCCGTTCATGCCCAGATACAGCGTCGGCGCGGCATGGGCACCGGCGGCGAACAGGGCGAGGGTCAAGCAGGACAGTGCATTACGTGGGTTCATGGTTTTTCCTCTCAGGCTTGGAATCGACGGATGGAAAACGCTTCGATGGGCTGACGGCTGGCGCCCGAGCAGACGATCTCTGCCAAGGCTTCACCGACGGCAGGGCCGAGCTGGAACCCGGCGCCGGCAAAGCCGAAACCGTGGAGCAGACCCGGTGTGGTGCTGCTGGGACCGATCACCGGTTCATGATCGGGCAAGTAACCTTCGGTGCCGCTCCAGGTGCGAATCGCCTGGGCGCCCTGAAGAAACGGGTACAGCTCGGCGGCATTGCGCAGAATCTCCAGCACTGCCGCTTGCCCAGGGCGTGCTTGACGCGGCCCGAGGGCAAAACCACGCCCGCCACCCAGGATGCAATTGCCTCGCGCCACCTGGCGCGCATAGATCCCGCCGCCTTCGACGCCCGTGCTCACGTCCATCACTACCGGCAGCGGCTCGGTCACCAGCATCGCCGGGTGCGCCGAGGTGATCGGCACCGGTTCACCGAACTGTGCGGCCACGCTGCCGGCCCAGGCACCGGCACAGTTCAACAGCCATGGCGCGTGCAAGTGCAGGCCATTGGCACAGTGCACTTGGAACACGCGGCCATCGTGCTCGATGCGTACCACTTCGGCCTGTTCGTGCACGACCGCACCGTGACGCTGCGCCGCGCGGGCAAAGGCCGGTGACACCAGGCGCGGGTTGGCATGCCCGTCTTCCGGGCACAGCGAGGCGCCGACCGCCACGTCGCCCACCCACGGGAAGCGCGCGCGCAGTTCGGCGCGATCCAGCAGTTGCAGGCCCAGATCAAACTCGCGGGTGCGCTCGGCGTAGGCGTGCAGCGCGGCGAAATCGGCGGCGCTGCGGGCCAATTTCAGATGCCCGCAGCGCACGTATTCGCCGTCGATGCCGATCAAACCCGGTAACTCGCCCCATAACTGATGGGCGCGCTGCGACAGTGGCAATTGATGCAAGGGCCGACCCTGGCGGCGCACGCCGCCGTAATTGACGCCGCTGGAATGAGAGCCGCAAAAGTCACGCTCCACCAGCGTCACGTGCTGGCCTTTTTGGGCGAGCATCAACGCCGCCGACGCGCCAACAATACCGCCCCCCAGTACGATCACGTCGCTCATGGCTGCACCTGCACGCCAAACGGCAGCGGCTTGATCGGGGCTTGACCACGTAGGCGACCGACGTCCTCCACGCTGCGGCCGCTGCGCTCAGCGACAATCTCCGCTGCCGCCAACCCACACAATCGGCCCTGGCAGCGCCCCATGCCGACGCGGCAGTGGGCTTTGACCCGGTTGATTTCCCAGTGACCGTCGTCCACCACCGCGCGGATATCGCCGGCGCTGACTTCTTCGCAGCGACACACGGTCAGATTGTCCGGCGCTTGTGCCGCCCACTTTTCTGGAAAGGGAAACGCGGTCTCCAGGCCCAGGCGAAAGCGCTGGATGCGCGCCAATTGCTGTTCCAGCACGGCGGGCCTGTGCCGATCAATGGCGATGCCGACGTCTTCCAGTAGCGCCAGCGCCGCGCGTTCGCCGGCCATTTGCGCAGCGTCCGCACCCATGATTGCGGCGCCGTCACCTGCCAGGTATACGCCGTTTACGCTGCTGCGCCCGGCGCTATCGCGGGTGGGCAGCCAGGCACGGTTCAAAGGGTTCCAGGCAAATGCACAACCGAGCAGATCGGCCAGTTGGGTTTCGCTGCGCAGGGCATGGGCGAAGGCGACGGCGTCGCAGGCGAGGGTGTGGGCGCCCCAACGAATGCCGCTGACCCGTTGCACACCGTCGATCTGCGCCAGCGTCGCGCCCTGATGCACGGGCACCCCGTGGGCCGTCAGCCAGGCGCGGTAGTACATGCCCTTGGCCAGCGTCGCCGGTTGCCCAAGCAGGGCCGGCAGCGCGCGGCACTGGGCGCTGAACGGGGCGCTGTCGAGCACCGCTACCACCGTCGCGCCGGCCTTGGCGTATTGGTATGCCACCAAATACAACAAAGGCCCGCTGCCACACAGCGCCACCCGCTCACCGATGGCGCAGCCCTGATACTTCAAGGCGATCTGCGCTGCGCCCAGGCTGTAGACACCGGGCAAGGTCCAACCAGGCACCGGCAGGATACGGTCGGTGGCACCGGTGGCGACGATCAGCCGCGAATACTCGACGCTGTCGGCGCGGTTATCCGTGAACAGGTCCAGGCGCTGGTCCTCGGCATTCCACACCAGGGTGCGTGGCCGATAGTCGATCAAGGGGGCCAGCTCATCCAGGGTGCGATGCACGGCCTGGGCCTTGCCCGCTTCGAAGCCATAGAGCTGCTGGGCGGTGCGCTGGAAGCCTTCGGGTTGGCGCCGATAAATCTGCCCGCCGCCGCGCAGACCTTCGTCCACCAGGCAGGCGCGGATGCCGTAATCGAGCAGGGTGCGCGCCGCGCTGATGCCCGCCGGGCCTGCGCCCACAATCACCACAGGCTTCATGCTGTACGCCCCGGATCGCGGCGGATCGCCTGGCCTTCTTCCAGCAGGGTCGAACAGGCCCGCACGCGCCGGCCGTCCTCCAGCCGCACCCAGCAATCCTGGCAGGCGCCCATCAGGCAAAACCCGGCGCGGCGCTCGGCGCTGAAGTCGCTGCCGCGCAGGTGTTCGCTGCAGGTCAGCACGGCGGTCAGCAGGGTGTCGCCGAGCAAGGCGCTGGCCGGCTGACCGTCGAGGGGTAAACGCGACCACAGGGCGCGCGGTTTCGGCCAAGCGTTTGAACAAGCCCATCAATGTTTCCCCACCAGTACGCGGTCCAGGCCGTAGACCCGGTCCAGCAGAATCATGGTCGCCGCCGTCAGCGCGATCACCAGCGCCGACACCGCCGCCATCATCGGATCGATGGATTCGGTGGCGTACACGTACATGCGCACCGGCAGGGTTTGGGTCGCCGGCGAGCTGACGAAAATCGACAAAGTCACTTCATCGAAACTGTTGATAAACGCCAGCAGCCAGCCGCCGGCCACGCCGGGCAGGATCATCGGCAGGGTGATCTGGCGAAACAGCGTAAAGCGGCCGGCCCCCAAGGATTCGGCGGCCTGCTCGGCGCTGCGGTCGATGCCGATGGCCGCCGCCAGCACCAGGCGCAGCACGTACGGGGTGATGATCACGACGTGGGCGAGCATCAGCCAAGTGAAGCTGCCGTTCACCCCCATCAGGGCGAACAGACGCAACATCGCTACCCCCAGCACCAGGTGCGGAATGATGATCGGCGAGAGGAACAAGGCGCTGAAAAAGTCGCGCCCCGCAAACGAGTAGCGACTGATCGCCAACGCCGCCGGCACTGCGATCAGCGTGGCCAGGGTCGCGGCGCTGAACGCCAGGATCAGGCTGTTGTAGAACGCCTGGATAAAGTCGGCACGCTCGAACACCGCGCGGAACCAGCGCAGGGAGAAACCCTGGGTCGGCAGACTCAAGGTGTTCTCCGGGGTAAACGCCACCAGGCATACCACCACCAGCGGCGCCATCATGAACAGCACCACCAGGCCATGGAAGCCGAGGGCCAAAGGACCGTTTCTGGACATGTGTCTAAACCCCCAGGGACTTTTTGTAACGGCTTTCGAGCAGGCGGTTCCAGCTCAGCATGATCAGCAGGTTGAGCAGCAACAGCACCACCGCGATGGTCGCGCCCATGGGCCAGTTGAGTTCCGAGAGGTACTGGTCGTACACCACGGTGGCGACCATTTTCAGGCGGCGTCCGCCGAGCAGGCCGGGAATAGCGAACGAGCTGGCGGCCAGGCCGAACACAATCAGGGTGCCGGACAGCACCCCCGGCATCACCTGGGGTAACACGATCTTGCGCATCACCGTGGCCTGGCTGGCGCCGAGGGACAGCGCCGCCTGTTCGGCCGACGGGTCGAGCTTTTGCAGCGAGGTCCACACCGGAATGATCATGAACGGCAGCATCACATGCACCAGCGCGATGATCACTGCGAACGGCGTGTACAGCAGCTTCACCGGCCGTCCGCCGAGCACTTGGATCAATTGGTTGACCAGGCCATCGGCCCCCAACAGCAGGCTCCAGCCGAACGCGCGCACTACCACCGATATCAGCAGCGGGGTGAGGATCAGGATCAGAAAGATCGAGCGCCACGGTGTGCCCATGCGGCTGAGGATGTAGGCCTCCGGCACGCCGATCACCACGCACAGCAAGGTGACCAACGCGCTGATCCAAAACGTGCGCCAGAAGATCTCGTAGAAATACGCATCGCTGAACAGCGCCAGGTAATGGGCGAGGGTCCACTCATGGGCCTTCACCCCCACTTGGTAGTCGAACACGTTGAACGACAGCACTAGGGTCAGCCCCAACGGCAGGATCAGCAGCCCGCTAAACAGCAACAGCGCCGGCAGTGACAGCAGATAGCCCCGACTCATGGGCGTACCTCGTCGGCAGCCAGCACCCGCAGCAACTCGGCCGGCCACTCAAGGCCCACCGCTGCGCCGTTGCCCAGCGGTGCGCTGCCATCGTTGGCGCGCACCACGGTGATTTCACCCAGCGAAGTGTGGATGCGGTACAGCCATTGGCTGCCGAAGAAGAAGCGGTCGAGCACCTGGCCTTGCAGGCGGCCGCTGCCGGCGTTGACCAGCTGGATTTTCTCCGGGCGCAGGCTGAGGGTCAGTTCGCCGTCGCCGCTTGCCTGCCGCACTTGCGGCGTGCCGAGGGCGTCGTAATCGCCGGGCAACAGGTTGGCCTTGCCTACGAAGTCAGAAATAAAGCGTGTGCGCGGGTGTTCGTAGAGGGTGTAGGGCGCGTCGATCTGGGTCACGCGGCCGGCCTCCATCACCACCACGCGGTCGCTGATGGACAGCGCTTCGGCCTGGTCGTGGGTGACCATCAGCGTGGTGATGCCCACCGCGCACTGGATGCGGCGGATCTCGAACTGCATCTCTTCGCGCAGGTTGGCGTCTAGGTTGGACAGCGGCTCATCCAGCAGCAGCACCGGCGGTTCGATCACCAAGGCGCGCGCCAGGGCCACGCGTTGGCGCTGGCCGCCGGACAGCTCACGGGGGTAACGCTCGGCGTGGGGAGCCAGGCGCACCAGGTCGAGCACGGTCTTGACCTTGCTGGCGATCTCGGCGGCGGGCACTTTGCGCATCTTCAGGCCGAAGGCGACGTTGTCGCGCACGCTCATGTGCGGGAACAGCGCGTAGCTCTGGAACACCACGCCCAGGCCACGGCTGGCGGGCTTGGCGTGGGTGATGTCGCGCCCATCCAGCAGGATCTGGCCGCTGGTCACCTCGACGAAGCCGGCAATCATTTGCAGGGTAGTGGTCTTGCCACAGCCCGAAGGGCCGAGCAGGGAAACGAACTCGCCTTTTTCCACGGCCAGGTCGGTGGCGACCACGGCGTCGACGGCGCCGTAGCGTTTGCTCAAGGCGTTGAGTTGGAGAAATGCCATGTCTGCGTTCCACCTTTTTCAGTCGCGTCGAAACGCGCTTTTTTTGTTTTGGGCAGATGCGAAAAGCGTATTGCGGGTGCGTTGGCGCTCGATCTTGAGTCGGCTGCCGCGTGTTGTTCGTTTTCGCCCCTGTGGACGCAGATTAGGACGAAGACTAGGATGCGCGAAAGATGGAATTTCACTGAACGAACTACTTTTTTCAGTTTTATTCATTCATCTGAATTAATAGCGAGAATATGCGATATGGATTCCACTGAGCGGAATGAAAATCTAAAGGAAGTTGGCGCCGGTGCTGTGTCGCGCGTGTTTGCGTTGTTGCGCGCATTGGGCGAAGTCTGCGAAGGCGGCGAACGGGTAACGCAGCTCGCGCAACAGGTCGGCCTTTCGCAACCCACCACCCACCGCCTGCTACGCAGCCTGATGGAAGAGGGCATGGTGGAGCAGGATGCGCGCAGCAAGCGCTATCGCCTGAGCCTGGAGTTCTTCGCCCTGGCGGCCAATGCGGGCAAGACCGGCAACCTGCGCGACCTGGTGCGACCGAGTCTGTTGCGCCTGAGCGCCTCCTTGGGCGATTCGCTGTTTTTGCTGGCGCGCAGCGGCTTCGATGCGATTTGCCTGGACCGCAGCGAAGGTCCGTACCCGATCCGCACCTTCACCGGCGACATCGGTGGGCGCGTGGCCCTGGGTGTGGGGCAGGGCAGCCTGGCCATCCTGGCCTACTTGCCGGAGGAAGAACGCGAAACCGTGATCCGCTACAACCTGCCCCGGCTCAAGGACTTTCACCTCTACGACGAAGTGCTGCTGCGGTCGGAAGTGGAGAATGTGCGCACCCTGGGCTATGCGGCGCGTAACACCGGGGTGCTGGAAGGCATGGCGGGCCTGGCGGTGCCGATCCTCAATCGCGAGGGGCACGCGGTGGCTGCGTTGAGTGTGGCGACCATCAGTGATCGCTTGGGGCCGAGCCGCTTGCCGATGGTGGTGGAATTGCTCAAGCGCGAAGCCGCAGCCATCGGGCCGAGGATCAATCCCTTTGATCCGACGTTACGCAGGCCGTCGAAGACGTTTGGCGATTGAGCCTGGCCGATCGTCCTGTCGATAAAGGACAAACCTCGGGAAGATAGGATCCAATTACGGTATAACCCTCGGACGCTCTAGCTCTCCGAGGCCCGGTTTTTTCATGCAAAGCCCTTTGCAACGTCCGCTGTGGCAGGTCTACCTGATCTTTCTCGCACCGATGGTGCTGTCCAACTTCCTGCAAAGTTTGTCCGGCACCCTCAATGGCATCTATGTCGGGCAAATGCTCGGCACCCAGGCTCTGGCAGCGGTGTCGGGGATGTTCCCGGTGGTGTTCTTTTTCATCGCCCTGGTGATCGGCCTGGGGGCGGGCGCGTCGGTGTTGATCGGCCAGGCGTGGGGCGCTCAGGAAACGGCAATGGTCAAGTCCATCACCGGCGCTACGCTGGCCCTGGGCGCGCTGGTGGGCGTGAGTGCGGCGGTGCTGGGCAGTCTGTTTGCGCGCTCGGCGTTACAGGCCCTTGGCACGCCGCTGGATGTGCTCGACGATGCGGTCGGCTATGCGCGGATGATGATGCTGATCATGCCGTTACTGCTGGTGTTCATCCTCTACACCCAACTGTTGCGCGGCGTCAGTGACACCATTTCACCCTTGCTGGCGCTGATGGTTTCGACCCTGGTGGGCCTGCTGCTGACTCCCGCGTTGATTGGCGGCTGGATCGGCCTGCCACCCCTGGGCATCCAGAGCGCGGTGTACGCCGGTCTGGTGGGCAACGGGGCGGCGATGCTGTTTTTGATCCTGCGCCTGCGCCGCAAACAGCATGTGATGGCGCCGGATCGCGAGTTACTTGCGGCTTTACGCCTGGACCGCGCGATTCTCGGCAAAGTGCTGCGCATCGGCTTGCCCACCGGCCTGCAAATGGTGGTGTTGTCGCTGTCGGAATTGGTCATCCTGGCGCTGGTCAACGGCCACGGCTCCCAAGCCACTGCGGCTTATGGCGCGGTGACGCAGATCGTCAACTACGTGCAGTTCCCGGCCTTGTCGATAGCCATCACGGCCTCGATCCTCGGCGCCCAGGCAATCGGCGCCGGGCGCCTGGAGCGCATCGGCCCGATCCTGCGCACCGGCCTGCTGATCAACACCTGCCTGACCGGCGGCCTGATTGTGCTCGGCTATGCACTGTCGCACTGGTTGCTGGGGCTGTTCATCACTGAGGCGCAGGCGCGGGTCAACGCTGAACACCTGTTGCACATCATGTTGTGGAGCATCCTGGTGTTCGGCTTTCAGGCTGTGGTGGGGGGCATCATGCGCGCCAGTGGCGTGGTGCTGATGCCGGTAGCGATTTCGATTTTCTGCGTGCTGTGCGTCGAGTTGCCGATGGCCTACCTGTTCAATGCGCATTTCGGTCTGGAAGGGGTGTGGATGGCCTTCCCGGTCACCTACCTGGCGATGCTCGGGCTGCAGACCGCGTATTACCGGTTGGTATGGCGGCATAAGCAGATCAAACGGTTGGTGTGATGGAAAAAATGCGCACATTCAGCACAGAAGGCGTCTGAGTCATGGCAAACCCTTACGCGGATTTATTCCAGGTTCCCGGCGCCCGCGCCTTTGTGCTGGCGGGCATGCTTGCGCGCATGCCGGTGTCGATGACCGGTATCGGCCTGATCACCATGCTCTCGCAAGTGCAGGGTGGCTATGGCCTGGCGGGCTCGGTGGCGGCGGTGTTTGCCCTGGCCACGGCGTTCTGTGCGCCGCAGGTCTCGCGCCTGGTGGATCGCTACGGGCAGGGCCGAGTGCTACCGATCGCCGCGTTGATTGGCGGCGGCGCGTTATTACTGTTGTTGTTATGCACGCGCCTGCAGGCGCCGACCTGGACGCTGTTTGTATTTGCCGCGCTGTGCGGCTGCATGCCGAATATGTCAGCCATGGTGCGAGCACGCTGGACCGAGGTGTATCGCGGCCAACCCCGATTGCGCACGGCGTTTGCTCTGGAGTCGGTGCTCGATGAGGTGTGCTTTATCATTGGCCCGCCGATTTCGGTCGGGCTGAGCGTCGTAGTGTTTCCCGAGGCCGGGCCGTTAGCGGCGGCGCTGCTGCTGGCCGTAGGTGTCACCACCTTCGTGTTGCAGCGCGAGACCGAACCGCCGGTGCATGCGCATCAGGATCATCACGGCCGCTGGCTGATCGCGTCGCCCTCGGTGCTGATCCTGATGATCCTGCTGCTGGCCATGGGCGTGATCGTCGGCGTGGTGGATGTGGTCAGCGTGGCGTTCGCCCAGCAGCAGGGCCAACCGGCGGCGGCGAGCATTGTGCTGTCGGTGTATGCCATCGGCTCGTGCCTGGCCGGGCTGGGCTTCGGCGCCCTCAAGCTCAAGGAGTCCTTGCCACGGCAGTTCCTCACTTGCGGGGTGGCGACGGCGCTGACCACCGTGCCGTTGCTGTGGGCAAGCAATATCCCTGGCCTAGCCGTGGCGATTTTTATCTCCGGGCTGTTTTTCGCGCCAACGCTGATCGTCTCCATGGCCCTGGTGGAGCGCCTCGTCCCGCCCAGCCGCCTGACCGAAGGCATGACCTGGCTGATCACCGGCCTGAGCATCGGGGTAGCCATTGGCGCCGCGAGTTCCGGCTGGATGATCGACCACTTCGGTGCCGCCAGCGGGTTCTGGGTGGCGCTGGCCGCGGGAGGCGTGGTACTGGGGGCGGCATTACTGGGGTATCGGCGGTTGGGGTAGTTTGCTATGCGCTGGGGTGAAGTTCTGCGAAGTGATGTTGCAGGAATTCATTCAGCGCCTGACGCGTCAGGTCATTGAGCGTGACTTTCTTGCGGGTCGCCGCCAGCGCCGCAGCCAAATGCAGGTCATGTCCAACCCGCACATTGAAAGAGCCCTTGCATGGCTTTTCCGGGGTTTGACCAAGGTTCTGGCACGTCACGAGATAGTCGTCCACGGCCGCCTGAAAAGCGGCATCCAAATCAGCGACGGTTTTTCCTTCGTAGCTGATCAGCGCCTTGATGAACAAGATCTTGCCGAACAGGCAGTTGTCTTCAAGGCTGGCCTCGATAGAGCCGATGTAGCCTTTGTGTTTGAGTTGGTTGTTCACTGAATCAGTTCTCCTGATTTCAATTGTTCGATGATCTGGCGTCGAATGTAGTGCTTCAGTTCGTTGCCAGGGTGAGGCTTGTGCAGCGTGATCATGGCAGTGGGGTCGCCACTGTCGAACTTGACGCGGCTTCCAGCCCCTTCGATCTGTGTGTAGCCCAGGCGACGCAGCAGCGTGACGAGTTCGGGCCATGTAAATGCCATTTGCTCATTGAGCAGTTTGGCCAGCAGCTTTTCATTTTTGGACACGGCGTTCCTTGCGTGTAACTAAATGTAGTTGCAGAGAGTGGTTTGCGTCAATGCTAGCTCGGTTACGTGCAGCTTTCCCGTCACAGGTGTAACCCTTGATGACGCTCGGTTTCGCGCCTGCATCCCCTCGCTAATTTTTCCTTTCGCGATTCGTTTTATAGGGACGACGTGCCTTTGTGCTTCCTGCCTATTGCTCCGGATCCCAAGAAATGAATGCTGAAGACTCCTTGAAACTTGCTCGCCGGTTTATCGGGTTGCCCCTGGAAAAACGCCAGCGGTTCTTGCAGGCCTTACAGACAGAAGGCGTGGAGTTTTCGCGGTTTCCGATTCCGGCTGGGGTGCAGGCGGAGGATCGCCAAGCGTTGTCCTATGCGCAGCAGCGCATGTGGTTTCTTTGGCAATTGGATCCGACCAGTGGCGCCTATAACTTGCCGGGCGCGGTGCGGCTCAAAGGCACGCTGAGCTTGCGGGCTATGGAGCAGGCGTTCGCCAGTCTGGTCGAGCGCCACGAAACCCTGCGCACGGTGTTTCAGCGCCAGGCTGATGAACGCTTGTCACAGGTGGCCATTGAGCCATCGGTGGTGGTGGAGCAGCTCGACCTGAGCGACCTGCCGCCGGCCGAGCGGGAGCTGGCGGTGAGCGACGCG